AAATATATAATATATATTATATATATATCTTATAGCTATGAATTTTATTGTCGTTCTGATGACCATAATCGCCAACACAGTTGTAAAGGAACTATAGACACCGCAGTTGTGAAAAGGACTGTCGCCATCATCGTTGCCATCGTTGTCGCCAATATATCGCTATTGCTGTCGCCCAACATCATTGCCATAGTTATCGTCACCGATGCTGTCGTCTGAATAACGAGCTCTCATTGGCAAGTTAACGGGCAACTTTTTGGGCGAGGTTATCTCGTCGTCTTGTGAATTTCGTACATGCTGCAACGGTCAACATTGTTGGTACAACTTAAATTGTTACAGTTAGCCAATGATTATTGTTGTACCGTTATTCCTAGATCTATTAATCGTTAATATATTAAATTATAAATATCCTGGGACATACGCCTATCCGTTGGATCATCATCCTAAAAGTAATTGGATATCAGTTCATCGTCATTTGAATGCCCCTGATATTATTTATTTTACCAAATGTTCATCACCCATCACAACGTGCTCAACAATTCCCGATTCATCTATTGTCCCCAATCAAGATCTTGATGGATCAATGACACAACAACAATGCTCATGCCAATGTAAAGCTGATGCTGCAGCATTTCTACCTTCCACTCAGAGCTGTATTAATAAACTTGGTAACTTTTCATAATTTTATCGTCGTCTTTTACATTTCACATAACCCAATTTTTACATCGTTTCAATGACTCCTTCTACATTCATCGTCTGATACGTTGCAGGTCTCTTGTTTTTGCTATCATCATTTTCATTAATTTTCTAGAAATTTTTTCAAAAATTGCCAAATTTCGAAATATTTATAGAGATGATTAAAATTTAACAAAAATTGAAAATAACATAATAATGTGGAAAGCAAGCATTTTCAACATTATTTATTCGATATAATGGAATTATTTGTTACTGCAATAACTGATTACCTTCAACAATAATATCCCATTATAAACATTACTTTTGAAATTTCTCCACCATAAATAATTAAATCAAGAAATATGTTTACCGCAACCATTTATGAATTTTTTCAAAAAATAAAATGGAAATTGAAAAAAAATTTTTGTGATCATTACGGATCATTTGATCGGATTGAAATATATATATATATATATCGTTCATTTATTCTTTCATTATCTTTTTATTTGATTGTTTTATTTGTTTTATATAAGTACTTATCTTAAAAATTGTTTATTAATTATAAAAATAATTTCGAAGATTAAAATCTTTTCGGAAGTTTATCCTCTCAAAGACAAAAAGATTCTAAAGAATGAAAAAGTATATTCTATTAAGTTATTATTGTTATCTATTTGTTATAAAGTATATTTACTAAACAAAATTTTGTCCAATGAATTAATTAATTAATCTAAATGCAAAATAATGCTAATCATTTTGGCTCAATTGTTTTTGTTAATTTAATTATCATAAATTAATCGATATCTTATTGTGTTACACCTCACATACTAAGCATATATTTTCTATTAATCGATTAGTTGAGACATCATTAAATTGAAAATAGGGTACAAAAAAAGAAGTGAAGAAGTGGAATGTCCTCGATTTACTACCACCTTTTTCCTCTCTTTCAAACACTGAACAGAAATTCCACTCTATGAAATGGCCATATATTTTTTTGTAAAATAAAGAAGTGTAGATAATATATATTAGCATGTAGCTAAAAGATTATTCTATTATTTGACTAATAAAAATTTAATTTAATCTTAAGATAATTAAGCATTAAATGATATTAATTAAAAAAGCTTATCATCAATTAACGCATGATAAAAACAATAAAATATTATATTATGCTTTTTTATTCCAAAATTTATTTTTGAAGTTTTGCAAAACGTTGAGATTTTAAGTTAAAAAATTGAGAAAATTGATGATAAATTTTGAGATCAAATAAATTACTAATTGCTAATAATTAGCATTTATAATTAAATAAAAATCAAAATTATCTTATTTCAATTATAAAGAGAAAAAAGGGAAAATTTTTACTATTATAATAATTAAAAATTACCAAAATTAAAATGCAATATTTTCAATCAATAAAAACTATTATAATGAAATTTGTAAAATTTTTGAAATTTTTCAAACAGTAAACAAATAGGAATTATATTCTCTTCCATTCAATTATATCTTATCATTTCAAATCTCAGATGAATGCCGTCAACAAATACCATTTCAATATATCAATGATCGTGTTAAACGATGGTTACCAACTTTTAGCATACCAGCAACAAATAGCATTTTTGCACCTTCATATATAATTCTATGGAATGGTAATTTCTATATCTTTTAATATTTTATTTTCTAATTTTTAATATATGTATGTATAAATTTAAGTAGAAGCATTAAGTTTAAATTTAAATATGATTCTTTTAAATTTTAATTTTGAAAATAGATTTTTTTTAGAAGTGGTAAAACAAAGAAATACCATTGGTTACGATGATTTAAAATGCATTGTAAGAGATGTTTTTATACAAACCGACGATCTCTGGATATTACGCAATGATAGTGAACTGTTTAAATTGGAAAGCTACAATTACACTAATTATCTTATTGTATGCACTTGGTACTATTATATTTATATTTATTTAACATTTGTTTGAATCATTTGTTAAGTATCAAAAATCTCTGTTTTAATAATTACCACTAATTAGTTGGTCTATTTTCAATTTCCATCAAATATATTATTATGAGATAGAATTTGTAATGGTGAACAAAAACTACTTTAAAATACTACTATATATATATATATATATTGGATTAGTTGCTACAAGCAATAGAAATTTTTAAGAAATTTTTATATGCTATCTTTTTTAACATAATATATATTAATTAATCTTTGAATTGTTTTAAATCATTCTTAGTAATTAACATTTTTGTTAGTTTTAAAACAAGAAATGCTACCAGTTTTTCTTTTTGTTTTATTTATCTTTTAGCTTTAAAAAAATTTTCAGTTAAGAAGAAAATTTGACTAATTGAAATATTTTAATTTTTTTTTAGTGGACAGGAAGTGAAACAAATGCTAAAAAGATGGAAGGTAGTATTATACAGTTAAAAATATCCTGCAACAATGCCGATTCCGAATTATACTGTATTGCATTTCGAGTTGCTGGCGTACATGGTAAAATTTTTATTCCGTATTTGAATGATCCAATATGGTAGGTAAAAAAATTTAACAAGTTTGAATTACTTGTAGTGAATGTGAATAAAATAAACAAAATGATTTGAGAGCCAAAGATTTTTTTGTAAACCAACAAATTAAAAGATAGCTTTCAGTAAATGCTAATTTGTCCCATCGATTGAATAATATACGATGGAATCGAGTTGAATTAATTATATGTGTCTTACTTACAACATTGCTTGGCGTAACATTATTCGGTGGAATTGCATTATGGAAAATATGCTGGAGGAGTGAAAAAAGCAAACTTATCTCAACTATGCAAATGCAATTTCTTTATCATATGAAACAACAACAGGTATATTCTTTTATTACTTTTAATTGTCATGATAAGTGATAATAATAATAGTAGCAATGATTATAGCAATATTTAACTGTTATTAATTAAAATTATCACAAATAATTTATATCACCGAGAATCAGACATCAATAGAATAAGTTAATAGCCCAATAAGTGATGTATAATTTTTTAGAATAGAAGTGATTAAGTTATGTTAATGTGGTGGAATTGATTCTGTAATTTTGATTTTAGAATGAACCTAATAGTACTCTCATAATATCGTCATATTTTTTGGTTTTAATTTTGCTAAATTTTTTTTTGAAATAAACTTTGAAAACAAAATACTATTAGGTATTACCCAAATATAAAATAATGCATATTTTATAAATTATAATTATTAAGTAAAGTTTCCTCTTTTGCATTCCAACATTTTTTTAGATATTTATTTCTTCATTATATTTGGGTAATAATTATAATTTATAAAACGAAATTATCTGAAATGTATATTTCAGATACATATGCAAGAGCAAATAGCATCAATAAAAGCAAGCATTGAAAGACATCCAACGTTTGAAAATGAAACTGACCAATGTCCAACAAATGTTGGAATGCAAAAGAGGAAACTTTACTTCAGCGCCGGTAATTTCTTTCCGTTACTTTTTATATCTTTTTATTTTGAGCGATAAAATTTAAATGTTTTAAGGCAGCTTTATAAAAATTAGAAATTTCGATCTGCTTAGTACGAATTTATATTTTTGATTGTAATTTTTCTTTTTGCATGCTTTTATGAAGAGGATGGTGACCGGAAAATGTAGTCTTTCCAAGGCTCTGAAATATAAGCTACAACAATGTTGGGACATTTATGCTTTACATTATATTTTAATTTCGATTAATATAATTACTTTAGATTTCTTTGAACCTGAATTAATGGCTAATCCACCGGTGTTAGCCATGCAATTTGTATACGAACTACGGAAGATGATTGATATAGCTAAGGATCGCATTAGAATGAAACGACATGTCCCAACTCTAACAACCATCTCAGAAGATAGCGAAAGCGATGAACATCTGGAAATACCGCGACCGCCAAGTCGAATGAATGAGCGTGTTGATGAGCTTTCCCCAAAATCCCTAAATTCAGTGGATTCTGGATGTGATTCGATGAGTGACGAGGATGTTCAGAATCAACAAATATTATCACAAGATCAGGAAGAAGAATTGGAGCAAATGCAGAAAACGGATAAAAGTGAAAAGTGGTATGAGGTTGAATTGGAAGGAAAAAAGAAAGAAAATGAAGATATGCAACCGGATCCTTGTCTTCAAAAAGTCCGGCAATGTACAATAATACCAGATAAAATCCCTGTAGTTGGCAATTTGATACCACGATCAGTTACCAAAATTGTACAAATTTCCAGAATACCTACAACATCTTCATCACGCATAACCTTGGTGACGACATCACAGCAACTTAATCCAAAATCTTTTTTATCTTCTGATACATCCAAAACAATTTATGATCGCCAAAATGGTGCGAATGCATTGGTGGAAAATGCCATCTCATCTGCAGTATCCAAATTACCAAATTCAGTATCCATAAAACGCGAACCACCAAATCTAAAGTATATACTGAATAATGTACCACCACCCTTACCGGAAACTACTCCACCAAGTGCACCACCACCATGTCGTAATCGATTATACAGCGGACGGCGGAAAGCTTATGCTGTTTTTCCAAATAGTGATTTGATGCTTAAAAAATCATTGCCACGGCGATCGAAACGACAGAACCGATTTGGAGCTGCTACTGCAGTTGCCACGCAAACAACATTATCATTATCACTACCATCACCATCATCAGTGTTACAATCATCACCACAATCATCATCATCATCATCATCATTGTCATCATCTCCATCATCATCATCATCAACATCATCATCATCATTATCATGTGTATCATCCGTTACGTAATAATTTATTTATAGGTTATATTATTCGGGTTTAACATTTTCTTTTCGCTGACATTTGTAATAATTCGCAAAAATTTCAATTTGCTACTTTTATCTTTCAATAATTTATTTCTTGCATTTCTTTTTTTCTCTTCTAGTTTGAAATGAAACGAGAGAAGTGAAATTGATATGATATTTTGTGGTGTGAAATTAAATTGCGATTTTTTACATCATCGAAAAATTGTCAAGGTGAAATAAGAGAAATATGATTTTCTAATTTTAATTTAGGACTAAAAAACAGGTTAGCATTAATTAATGATTTCCTTCTTTTAAGCATATTAAACGGTTAGAAATATAAAATTCCATAGAAGCATTGTTGAACAGGCGGTATTGATAACTGTTAAATAGTATTTGAAAGGATGAAAATAATTTTTTTCGAACTCAATTCAAAATGATTTTTCATTTACACTTCCGCTTTGGGATCAATAAATTAATGTATTTTAGCTAATAGTTTAAAACAATCATTTTGAACTGAGTTAAAAAAAAAAATATTTTACGCTGATATGGAATTACATCACAAAAGTGTCCATAATTGTACTTACTGTGAAATTTATCCATCCTAATGATAACCCTAATAAAAATCAGCATATCAATATTATTCATGATAAAAAATCACGGTAAATTTTGCTAAACAATTACAAATATAACATATAAGATCTCGAGAGTACAATCATAATCAATCATTGGTCACTACTCGAGAGTGTATACTTATATTTCAATCATTTAATTTCTATGAATTTTCATTTTTGTTCGTGCCATTTGTTAGTTAGCTATTTGCAACCTTTCCATTTACTTTTTGGTTTTTAAATTCATTTATTCTTGCAGTATCCTGAAATTTTTCTCTATTGAAATGTAGAAATTTTATTTTTTGGTAATTAATTAGTATTAATTACCACTCCTTTTTCATTTCTTGCAATCATTTTGTAACGTACAATTATTGTTTATGAATGGAATGAATGAAGCAAAAATTCAAATTTTTTTAAAATTTTATTTAAAACATTTCAAAACAAAAGTTAGACTAATTATTTGTTTTGCTTAATTGTTTTATTTGTTTTAATTGTAATTATTGCATAGATGAAGAAAATAAAACGTTGGCTGCTGCTGCTAATTTTAAAATGTTTAGTTTCTACAATCACTGTGAAAGATGCAAAAATAGTGCGCAGATTTGCACACTGTTTGTCTTTACAAGAAAAGAAAAAGA